TCATAAAAGAAAAATTTAGTTTGGTTTAAAGTGAAACATAAAGGGGTAATCTTTAATCTTTAATCAATCTTACTGATTTTAAAGACTTCCATTGTTTCATTGGACATAGAATTCTACCAAATTTGTTTTAAATACAACAGAATCTGAGAAGCCCTCGGTGGCGAATCGATTTATTAAACAATTATGTGGCATTAAACATTTACTTAACCCATTTAATGCTGATTACGCTCTGCAATTAAATGTTAATTAACATGTTGTTCTTGCTGCTGGCTCTTTCTTTTTGCCTTGCTCGTGTAATAATAATAATAAATTAAAATTCATTTAATAAGGTTGCAAATTTGCATAGTTAATGCATTCAAGCGAGACCTGGAAATAATCACACCCTTTGCCGGTCCTTTGTCTCCAAAGCTACCTCCTCCAATTAAGTGACGGCGGAAATGATTTAAAAATTATTTAAATGGCTGATATTGCAAAAATAACTTAAACCGAGAGCTGAAAAGAACAGAGTTAACGAAGTGGGGAGGAGGAGGCTCTGGAGAGGGAAATTGTTGCAATGGCATATGCCGCTTGTAATTTGCATCCAGAGTGTGCATGTAATTTAAAATGAATTAATGAACCGAGAAAATTTACAAAAGAAACAAACCAAAAGGGGAGTGGAGTACGGGAAGCATAAGAAAATCGTTAAGCGGGGAAAGAAAGACGAGGTGCCGAGGGAACATTTTTATTTGACACATAAATTACAGGAAGGAAGGAAGTTGCACTCGCGTTCAAGGCAACACGGAAAGTGCAAATAATTTGCAAGGCCATTAATTAATTTTCTTAAAAAGACTGGCCCGCTTTTGGCAAAATGTTGCGAAATCAGGTTTCCTGAGACAGTTTTGGAAATGTTTGGAAGAAAACTTTAATAGAAATGCAATTATATACTGTCATAAATTATTCCCAACTTGTCCCAATCATTTCAGAAATAATCATATTCCACTCTCTCCCAGATCCAGTGTCTTATATAGTCCATAAATGTTGTTAAACATTTCTTTTAGATACCATTAGATCCCATAATTGTCGCTTCACTCCTTCGTATCGGCAGCTGACCAGCATTAAAAGTTTTTACTGTCCAACTCTAATGGCTGTAAAAAAAAGGGAGCTCCCTGCTAAAAAGGACCAAGGATATGGGAGTTTAGCCTACATTTATGACGGCATTTTCATGCTCATATGAGCAATCCGTTGCCAGATCTACAGAAATTTTTAGCCTTTCAAATTTTATGACCTGGCATTAAATTGACGCCAACTGGCGGAGAGAGAGGTTTCGCCTATATTAATTTTCTCCTCGGGTTGGAGAAGAGAGGGTCCTTCGGACCCTCAACTCCTTCTGCCACATCAATTTAATGTGCTTCAGCTAATTTGCTTTTTATTAAGAGATGCCAGAGCATTCGCCAACCAGGACAGACTGCTGCAAGGAGACGGCAGGATGTGCCAGGAGTTGGGCTGGATGGCAGATTGCATGTCCTGCGGAGATTCTGGCTCGCCTACCGTAGGCAACAGAGTACACTGTATTTACAGATTACAGTTTATTACGCTGTAAATAATGTAAATAAACAAAAAGGTAAACAGGAGAAAATATACCAACCAAGACTACCCTGGATTTACGACGAAAAAATCCTTAAGAATTTATTAAAAATGTTAGAAAAATCTAGCATTAAATAGTAATGTGATATTTTGAATAAGTAAAGGTTAAACATCTCTATGAATATGTTTAAGCTCAGTTTGAATACTTTAAAAGAAAATAAACTGTAGCTTTGGTTGTAATTTCTCCTCATTATAATACCTAATTAATTGTTAGGGTATCAATTTCTTCGAGAATAGAAACTCCTACAAGATAAAAAAACGACAAAGATTGCAATTCAATCCCAGCCAGTCGACGGCATTCCTCGGCATTCTCCATTTTCCACCTCCGCCCTCGGACACAACCTTATCCTTTCCTCTCCACTTTCTTTTTTATACCCTTGCAGGGTATTATAATTTCAGTCAGAAGTTTGCAACGCAGTGAAGGAGGCACCTCCGACTATATAAAGTATATATATTCTTGATCAGGATCAACAGCCGAGTCGATCTAGCCATGTCCGTCTGTCCGTCTGTCCGTTTCTACGCAAACTAGTCTCTCAGTTTTGAAGCTATCTAAATGAAACTTTGCAGTTAGTCTTCTATATACTCTCACTCGTATATATGTCGGAACGGGCCGGATCGGACGACTATATCATATAGCTGTCATAGGAATGATCGGAAAAGTTTTACAAAAAAAATATAAAATTTTTAGTTTTCAACAGAATTTAATCAAATTTGAGATATAGCCATTTCATATTATTCTACAATTTTGTGTAAAATTTTATGAAAATCGGACGACTATATCATATAGCTCCCATAGGAACGATCGAGAAATTAATTCAATTAATAAGTATAACATTTTCAGTTTTCAACAGATTTTCATCAAATTTGAGATATAGCCGTTTCATATTATTCTACAATTTTGTGTAAAATTTTATGAAAATCGGACTAATATATCATATAGCTTCCATAGGAACGATCGAGAAATTTGAGAGGAATGAGAATGGCGGTGGCTGTTGTCGGAAAACTGACAATCGCGGTGGCGATAACATTTTTAGTTTTCAACAGAATTTAATCAAATTTAAAATATAGCCATTTTATATTATTCTAAAATTTTGTGTAAAATTTTATGAAAATCGGATTACTATATCATATAGCTCCCATAGGATCGATCAAGAAATTAATACAATTAAATTTATAACTTTTTTAGTTTTCAGCTGATTTTCATCAAATTTGAGGTATAGCCATTTTATAAAAGTCTTAAATTTTGTGGCAAATTTCATAAAAATCGGACGACTATATCATATAGGTGCCATACAAACGATCGTTTGATGTAGAGGAAAATGCAAATCTGTGAATGTAAAACTGCAAATATAATATGTATAGGTGAATGAAATGAAAGCAGGTATTACTTCATTGTTTTTTAACACAAATATATATAATTTATATTTTATGGATTCCTATTCATAGAAGTTCTATCTGCAAGGGTATATAAACTTCGGCGTGCCGAAGTTAGCTTCCTTTCTTGTTTTTTAATGCAGTTTCCGGTCTTGCACGCTGTGCCGTGTTCTGCAGTTAAAACATTTAAAACGTGTATAAATCGGGAATTTATGGGTGGAGCCAAAGCCAAAGTGGCTTTAAAAATTAACAGCATTAATAAACTGGGTAAGCTGTTTTAAGAGCAATAATAAATACGGACAAACAAAATGACCGCAGTGGTTAATTAATAACATTAGCGGGATTAAAGAACAAACTTCACTGAAAGGATCGTAATTGATTGATTATCCATGCGAGTAAAAAGTGTACGCTATCACATTTAAATCGGATAAAGAAACACGTGATTTGGCACTCTGATTATATTGAAGAGCGAAATGCGTATTGTGATTTAATTTAAAGAATATATTTGCTCTTTCGCACAACCTCGATTGTTAATTTTTTGACTGTCGCTGTCCACACACATTCAAAAGGAATAAGAGTTGCTCACTTGTTTTTATTTTTCGTTGTTTCATGTCCTTGTGTCCTTGAAGCCGTTGTTGTTGTTTAAGCAGTTGTTCTGCAGCGATAAAGAGATAACAGGCACTGCCGCAGGATTCAGGGATCGATTGCAGCAGCAGGTTTAAATTGCAGGCTTTAAAAAGAATATATACGTATGTGAGAAAATAATTTACATTTCAGAATTTTATAAAAAAAGGAGGAAAGAGATCAGGTTACAAATACATCGGGAAAGGGTATTTTAAGTATAAGAGCTGATGTATTTAAGGGTAGCTGCCTTTTGGATATTAACTATATTTTCTTATAACATGTAATGTTTAATGCATGTTCCTTTCACATAATAATTTTTTTCATAGAATTTTAGGTGGGTTTTTTATTATTAAGCAATTTATTATAGTATCTGCAAATGTTAACTGGTTCCCTAAGTAAGAAATATATATATATTGTTCCAATAGAAATTTAGCTTTATATATTGCTATTATTTCATCAACCAATAAAGCATCACCCTTGCAGTAAATTTAATTAATATCCCTACTGGTAAATTACTCAATTTCAATGCTACATTTATTAATGTATTCTTTGAAGCGAACTAAAGAAATCAAAATAATAATCCTCGAGGTAACAAGGCAATCTCCCCTTCCTTTCATCTCCTTGGAAACTGGCAATAACAAAAGGGGCCGCCAAATGGCTTATGGCTAATTATTTATTTGGAAAACAGAATGCATGGAAGAGCATTTCGGTGCGTTGACGTCACAGAGAGCCCGAGAATACAGCGAAAAGATTGCATTGACACTTTCATAAATCGACAGCTGACTTATTACCGATAATTGGTTTCGATTGTTATTGCCTGGCCATCGTATTTATTTATTTTCCATCTCTGCGCTCTCCATACAACGCTACCAATTTGTTTATAAACAAATGCGCAGCAGACATAAAAGCGGGCATCGCATTAAAAACATGAACAAAAAAAAAAACTCAGAACAATGAACATGAAACGTTGGGATTGTGGGCATTAAAAAACCATTAACATAAAAACTAATATTAAATAATATAAACACCCTGACCGAGGAAGGTATAAAGGCAGCGGGGAGCCGCCTTTTAATGCTATTATTGGAGGAATAAAATGTACATACACAGATGGCAGGCACTGTTTGTTAACAGAGCTAACAGCAAAAAGGTAAGACCACCCACATGGCCATGTTAAGAGCCAGAACAGGCATACTGGAAAGCCATGTTTTTCGGAATCTGTTAGTTTTTCGGTACACGAAGTGAACTTCGGGCAAAACAGCTGTTCGGCTGCTGCCTTTTGGGCCACTCAGTGGGCCATCATCATCATCATCATCATGGCCATTGTATTTGATGTTAGACAGCGATTTTCCTCGGCGGCTTCAGTCGTTGCCTGTCAACAAAACACTGCGAACGTGTCCAAAAGTCCTTGCTCCTCGAAATAAAAATTGAGAAACTGACAAATCGAACGCGTAATGGACTGAAGAACTTATCCAAAGTCGAGTGTTTGGTGAAAAATATTTTCAGCTTAAATACAAATCAATAAAAGCATTAAAAACAATTTAACAAAGACCCTCAATTAATAACAAATCAGATAATTTGCTTCCCTTAAGCCCACAAATTATCTAAATAAATCAGAGAATAAATAAGAAACACAATTTTCTCAAGGTAAATATTATTTCCGTCATATCTTTCGCCATTAATCTAACTTAAAATGAACTCTATGTTATGGAACTGCTCTCGTTCAGTGCATAAACACAAGTAATGGTTCCCCTAAGCCATAATACTGGTATAAAAAAAACAAAAAAATATATATAATAATACAAAAAACAAGAAAAACAACAACCAACAATGCAGCCAAAGAATAAAAAACAAAAAGTGTCAAATTTATGCGAAGCGGTAAAAGACGACAGCCGGAAATTTATATGGCTTATGAGTTGAGTCGAGTTGAGTTGAGACGAGTTGAGCACGATGAAGCTGAAGGATGGAAACCTTTCCATCTGCCGTCCGTCTCTCAGAGTGTGTGTGTTGTGTGTGTTTTAACCTCAAGGATTTTTTTATTTGCCAACTGAAATGCGTTGAAATGGCAGAATTGTTGAATTGTTGTTTTGCCTGTGTGGGTGTCAACTTGTTTGCTCTCGTAATTGTGTTGTAAACATATTTTGTATTCACATTTTGGCCCACTTCCTGTGGGCCCAATAAATTTAGCAATCGTCCGTGCCTTTGACGACTAAAAAACAATTGAAAGTTATGGTTATCATAGGATAGATAATAATTTTCCCATTTGACAAATTCTTGGAGAGTTGGTAATTTAAAAAGAAGTCAGGAACAAATTTGAGTTATTATAAATTTTCATAATAAATTCTCTTTATATCTTTACCTTCTCTAAAAGCAACTTTCATTTATTTAACACTTAATTTTTAAGTGTTTGCAATCACCTTAGAAAACATATTTAATAATTCAGCAAATTGCTGACTTTAATGCCCTTAAAAAGTGTAAAATCATTGACCAGTGGCAGTTATCAAAGCCATAACTAAAATGAATGGACATCAACATTAATTACTTCGTGGGTTTATTAGAAACATCATAAATTTATGTTCTACTAAAAAAATTAAAAGTCAGTTTAACTTGCATTAAAAAACAGTTGTCGCAAAGGTTTAAAACACATAAATTAGTGTAGTTTGAAAAAAAGCATTATTTAGTTAAACCAACAAAGAAAGAAATTTAATTGTAATAAAGCAAAATATCTTTCCTAATCATATAAAATTTCTTATCCCACTCCACTGGAATTATTAATTTCGTCCGAGCTTGAGCCTGGGAGCTTAGCAAAAAATCTTCTTAAATCAAAATATCCCCAAATCGCATAATGTTAAAGCGCACATTTTCCACAGGAAAATAAAGAAAAAGCGAATCCTCAAAGTCCTGGCCAAGTGGCATTGTTGCTTTTGTGACAAAGAATGACGAGGGAGGAGAAAAAGTCGAGGAGTGGCCAAGACGCATATATAAAATGTCATAAAAATCCCACACATACAGTGCGTTTCATAATCTACAATTCAAGAGTAACGATTAAAAGCAGTCATATAGGGTATAAGTCAGAGACTGAAAACCACCCATTCGGTTAATAAATTATATACAAGTTATATTAAATGAAAATTTTAAAGAGTTATTTAGAGTTTCTTTTGCATCAAATAAACTTGTGTTAAAAGATTTCTTATCCATTTTATATACTCCTGTCGCGCACTGTTCCCCTATGCATTATGTAGGCGTCTCGGGTATATTGGCAGGCCTGAGCTTTATGTGCCAACGAAATGGTTTGCCAAATTTGTCAAAGAACCAGGGGAAGGGGGAACCAGGCGGGAATCCCCTGCATGTGCCACTGCTCCTATAAATGCTGCTGGAATTCCGAATCCTTACTGCCGATGCTGAAACCGGCAACTACAAGTGCAAGTGCAAGTGCGAGTGCCACCAGTTCCTCTGCAGGGGCTGTCACACTGAAATGCAGCATACTTCCAGGGGCAAACTGCCAAATATTTTACCCTAAAAGCCATTTCTCCATAGGGGGAAAGAGCCTCAGATGTGCGGTAGTTTTCCCCTCAGCTGCAGGACATGAAGAAAAAAACCTAAATTAATAAAAGCTACAGAGAGAGAGAGAGGGTCCTTGTGCTTGTTCTTGGGCTGTGGGGGTGCGAGCCGCCGTCTTTGGAGACCGCAAACTCAATGCAGATAATTAAATGTAATTACATAATGTGTTTGTATTTGTGACCCTTCTGCGTCCATCAACGTGTCCGTGTACTCGCGGCTTGATTGTGTGAGTAATTACGTGCTTATGGCCAACAACAGCGAGTAGTGGCAACAACAAGTAGCCGGGAACAACCCCATCGTACAAACAATATATATAGAGACTATCTAGAAGTGCGACAGCAGCGATAAGTCGAGATTCTAATGCTCTAACTTTAGAAGAACTAAATAATATTTAATATTTAATTTAATTTTTCTAACTTATATTTATTGTGATAATCTCTTTTCCTTTTCTGTAATCAAGAAGAAAATTGATTTAATTACTATCAATAGACTTGACATTAAAATGAAATCTATACTTTAACGACATTAAAAGTCTTTTTTAATCAGACAACAAAAACATGAAAGGAAACTTACTTCGGAATTGATTTATAGGATCAAATCGGAAATTTGATTATAACAAAGCTTGAAATATTTGCATTTTTACTCAATATTTATCGATGTTTTTATATGAGTATTTTTTTTAACAAATCAAAGTTTAAAAATCCCATAACTAAGTCAAAAGTGCATTAATTTTAATTCGGAAAGCTTCCCTATGTTAGTTTTGACTAGCTTAATAAATCTGCATACTCAATTAAAAATTTAAAATTTTGACAATTTTTACCAATTTTTACAACCATATCTTTTACGAAAAAAAAACAAAATTTCAAAATTTTTTGTTTTACCGAACAAGGCTTCATTGTCTCGGCTGTTGATGCTGATTAGGAATATATATGATATGATTTATAGGGTCGGAAAAGACTTCTTTACCACATTTCAAGCTTCTTACTGGAATTAAAATACCCTTTAATGGTATAAAAACCGCGTGAAAAGAAACAAAAACAAATTAAGTTCATCAGAAAGTCACAGTGCAGGCCGGGAATGAAAGTGTAATTAAATTGAAACAACAATCTGGCCACAAGTATCTCTGTGTATGAGTAAATATAAATATCTATATAACGGCATAATGTGCTTCTGTTATTTGATAAGGGCTTATGACGATGACGCGCACGTTAGTCGGAGTCGAGTATTGTCCGTACTGGGCTCCACTTTAAGGCTCCACGCGGCGGAGTCAATAAAATGTAATTAAATCGACATTGTTATCAGTAGCACACCCACAAACACACAATATATCTGCATTAATTTCAATGAAAACAAAACACCCAAAAGACTTAGTCTAACGACTAGAAGATACCCGATTTATATTTACATTTGAATTAGATTTGAAATATATTGAGAGATAATTAGTGTTTTACTATTTTGTTAGTTTTAATGTGCTTAAAGTGTTTCCTATTAAGTTAGCTAAAGTATACTTATGAATTCATAAATTTGGTTTCTAAATATATATCTAAGTTCATTACAGGGTAACCCTATAGTTGATATTAAAATACCTTATTCCCTGGCATTGATAATAAAATTTGTCTGTTGTTTCTATTACAATTTCTGTTGCCTTAATTGTTGTTATTGCTAGTGTGAAACAATAGATCCTAAACAATAATATTGTGCCAGTCGTTGTTACAATAAATAAAATGTAACAAATTCTTTGCTGGTTGCTGACCATTTTGGGCCATTCAAACAGCCACAAACTGAACTGTTGAAATTTGGCTTAGATATTCCAATTGAATTTAGATTGAATTTAATAGTTAAAAGCTCGAACTTTGAAACACAGGCATATTTAATATCATTTGCTTTACCTTCAAATCAAGCTAAGCTTCTAAAAGTTCGATTTCAAAGCAAAACAAAAGAGATAAATTCGAATAAAATAAAAAAGAGCAAAAAAATGGTATGGCAAACTTTCCTTAAACTCTTATAAATCTATTAAAAGTTTTACCATACAACCAAAAAAAAACCCTTAAAAAGTTCCTTCACTTCAAAAAGGTTACCAGAAGCAGATAATGAGCTCAAAAATTGAGCTAAATTGTGAAAAGGAAAAGTTTGCTAGCCGCAACCGAAACCAAATTAATTTCTCAGTGAATTCATCAATGGGGAGGGAATCGAATAAAATTTCCAAACTAATTGTGCCAGGAGAAAACTGTAAAATAAAAATAAAAAACCGGTCAAACGGAAACAAAATGTGAAAAGTTATTTAGGGGAGGACAGAGGGCACCTCCCCAAATAAAGCAAATAAAGTTGGCAATAGAAAGTAAAGGCAGTTTTCCCCTGAAAATGGGGTCAAGCGGTACTCTCTATTGAAATTTCGTTCACGACCTTTTAAGTTGTTTATCGCCACTTGAACTGCCCTCTATCTGTATCTTCACCTCTTTGTGAAGTACTTACCCTTTGATTTATAATTTTGTCGGGGTCTTTGGGGCATTGAAATTTATCAAGTGGCTATCATTTGGCCTTTTCTCAAATGGATTTAATTGAAATTTTGGCCAAAGGTGCGGCCGAAAGCTGTTGAAGAAGAAGGAAAAGCCAAAAAAAAGGGATCAAGAGCGGCGAAATTGTCTCAATGAAACGTAATGAAATTACAAGTTTTTCCTGGCTGGCAATTTAATAATTTAAATGAGCATTAGGGTTTACCATGAATTAGATAACTAAATTAACTTCGTTGAAGTGCAAAAACATTTCACATTGCACCTGAATCGTATCCTTAAATAGGAGGACCGTAAGCCCCTTTAATACTGCGGCTACCATCAATCAGGTGAAGTGACGAGGACGAACCTCAATGGCGGAGCACCTCAATTACATTTTGCAATTACCCAAGCAGGGTCAATTCCCAGTCCTCCAGATGGTAAAGATGTATGTATGTGCAACATCCTCTTTTTCTCTGTCAGAAAAAAAAGCTCTTTACCTGGCCACCAAAGGTATCCTCTTAACAGAGCTACCTCCACATATGTTCACCTGCTTTTTTCCTCTTACCTGGCTTCTCTCAGTGTTTCCCTCGTTCC